AGCTGTTTTCATTTTTTAAAATATTTTATAGTAGATGAACACAATACCTTATTATTTTTAATTTTTATGTGGCCCTAAGGATCAAACCCAGTGCCTCACACCAGTTAGACAAGCGCTCCACCAACTAAGCCACAACCCCAGCTCTGTTTTCATTTTTATTGTGTAGATTTCTTCCCACTCCGATTAAACACTAGCCCCACTATTGGCAAATCACGAGCCACAAAGGACTTTCTGATTAATTTACCAGACATTCCTACGTTAGGAACTGTGGAAAAATTCAGCAGATTAAAAAAAAAGATTTCTGGCATCTAAAGAAAGTCAATTTAGTACCTGACTCCCACATCAAAACAGTATAGAATACTAGACTGTTCGAGTATGTTAGTCACGTGGCTCTGCGGATTGCCGGCGGTTGTCAACGTGGGTCAACGTGGTTTCAGTGTCATGTAAAAGACTACACCATTAGTCCGTTGATTAACCCTATGAAATTCATTAGGAGCTGCCATGTCCAACTATATCCTATTTAGGGTGCTGAGGAGAGGCATGAAAAACGACAATCTATCTAAACCTGGCATCCTCCCAGATCCTGTATCCCGGGGCTTTCTCCTCTCCCAGACTCATCCAGCACCCCCAGGGGGAGTGGCTCTCACCTACCCACCCGCCTACTCTCTCCCTAGAGATTCGGCTAGCTTCTCCGAGGACCCTCCCCTCTCAGGGTGGTCACGCAAATGTGGGACTAGCATAAAGGCTAGCACCTGCCACAGACCCGCATCTCGCTCATCGACTCCAGACTCGGCCAGGTACCCTCTTTTGCGCTCTCGGCTCCTCACCTGCTCGGCCGACACCGCCCCCTTCCCCGCGCCGCTCCCGCTGCTCTTGCCGGCGCGACCGCTACTCTCCGCCATCTTCGCAGCCTACTGGGTTTCCGGCTTGCGCAGCTCAGCCCACGCCTTGCGTCACGTCCGGTCTAGGAGTTACCGCCCACTCCTCCGGCGCTGCTGGCTACAGGACGTTCTTCGGGTCCGCTCCTGCGTGGTTTTGGCTCTACCTTCATGTAGGGCTTACTCCCAGTGCCGACCGCTGCAGTGAATTCCACCTGCGGTGCTTTAACTTGTGCAACCGAGATTTCTGCCCCGAGGAGAGGCTGGGAAGGACGCGCTAAGTGGAGGGTGGGGGTGCGAGTCGGGGGATCTGATCCTCTGCCCCTTGCCTACCTCCGGGTGGGCAGCGGGGCGCGGGGGTTGGGGGAGGACTAAGGAGGGTGAACTTCCCTTCAGAGGTTCCGGGTGAATGTGCTTTGAGATAGTAAAGCTGTGCATAGTCGAGAACAGAGGTTTGGGAAAACTACAAAAGTTTCCCTTGGAGGGGGGCGGTAACCGGGGATTGAACTCAGGGTCACTCGACCTTAGAGCCACATCCCCATCCCTATTTTGTATTTTATTTAGAGACAGGGTCTTACCGAGTTCCTTAGCGCCATGCTTTTTTTTTTTTTTTTTTTTTTTTTGGCTGAGGCTGGCTTTGAACTCGCGATCCTCCTGCCTCAGCCTCCCCAGCCTCTGGGGATTACAGGCTTGCGCCCGGCTCTGAGATGACTTTTGATCTGCGGAAACGTTTGGCAGAGGAAAAGGGCTTCAGTTTAACGTGAGGTCACTGGAAGTTGAGTTATTCAAGCGCCATCAAAGAACCCTACTCGATCTTCCCACTTTATGAACTCTTTCCATAGCCCGTAATTACTTACAGTAAAAAGTGTTTCTGAAGACATGGGTGATTTTTTTACTGGCAGGGCCCTGATTCACCTTAACAGTATGAAGGGTAGATGCCAGAGAATCCTAGAAATGTATTGCATGAATAAGGGTTGGTGTCCTGATTTTTCACCTTCCTCTCTCAGGCTGGGCTTCATCACCATACGTCATCACCAGCTCCTGTCCCTTCTGCGTCCCGGACTTTGGATATCTCGACTCTCAGGACTTTGTGCCCAGCCCAGGTAACATGTTTTATTATATCCTTACTGCCCGGCACAAAGTAGATGCTCACATTCAGTTTGTTAACTGAATGGTGGGGAGCAGAGGTATCAAGACATCCAAAGCACATTCAACTGGGGAGCTCCCTTATCCCTGGGTTAGTATGCCCTATAAGAGCAGAATCAAAACGAAGTCAGGCCTGTTAGGGTGATGCACATCTGTAACAGCAGTGGCTTGGGAGGCTGAGGATGTGGCTGAGTGGTTAAGTGACCCTTGGTTCAATCCTTGGTACCAAAAAAAGAAAAAAAGGCCTTCCTGCCTCCCCACATAAGTCATTAAACTTGAGTTTCCCCCCTGCTAGGAAATCTAATCCTGTCTGTGCCATTCATAGACCCAGGCCCATGGCCAACTCCTCTTCTTCCTGGGAATTGCCCCTGGTGGCAGTGTGCCAGGTAACATCTACACCAGACAAGCAACAGAACTTCAAAACATGTGCTGAGCTGGTTCGAGAAGCTGCCAGACTGGGTGCTTGTTTGGCTTTCCTGCCTGAGGCATTTGATTACATTGCTCGAGACTCTGCAGAGTCCCTACGCCTGTCTGAGCCTTTGAGTGGGAACCTTCTGGGAGAATACACCCAGCTTGCCAGGTATCGGGAAAGGGGGAGGGAGAGGTAGAATCTTCCATAGACAGTGTTCTTGGATTGCCAGATGTGAGAGTAGGGCCTTGAGAAGAGTTGTCAGTCTCCCCTCCCCCCAGGGAATGTGGAATCTGGCTGTCCTTGGGTGGTTTCCATGAGCGTGGCCAAGACTGGGAGCAGACTCAGAAGATCTACAATTGTCATGTGCTTCTGAACAGCAAGGGTGAGATCTCATAAACCTTTAGCCTGCCTCTTCCCAGGCTCTTCTATCTAAACCCAGATTCTTCAGATTTGTTTGGTACTATCTCCTCCTTGAGAGGAGCAGCTAACTTGGGCTTCTAGAACACCAGCACTGAGAATTTCTTCTCCCTCTTACTCTAGGATCAATAGTGGCCACCTATAGGAAGACACATCTGTGTGATATAGAGATTCCAGGGCAGGAGCCTATGCGGGAAAGCAATTCTACCCTGCCTGGGCCCAGTCTTGAGTCACCTGTCAGCACACCAGCAGGCAAGGTAAGAGTCGTGAGATGGAAGTGGAAGGAGAAAAAAGGGAATAGGAATATATTGAAGTAGCAATGGCATATAGAAACCCCTGAGGAGTGGGGTAATGGAGGTACTACACACTATGACAAAAAGGACAAGGAGGCTAAGTATTCTCTTTTTCATTTCAGATTGGTCTAGCTGTCTGCTATGACATGCGGTTCCCAGAACTCTCTCTGGCATTGGCTCAAGCTGGAGCAGAAATACTCACCTACCCTTCAGCTTTTGGATCTGTTACAGGCCCTGCCCACTGGGAGGTAAGAGGACACCTCTTCAAAACTTTAGGGTTTTTTTTTTTGTTTTTAGTACCAGGGATTGAACCCACAGGTGCTTAACCACTCTGTCACATCCCCAGTCCTTTTTATTTTTTAAGACAGTATCTTACTAAGTTGCTGAGACTGGCTTCAAACCTGCAATGATCTGCCTCAGTCTCCTGAGTTGCTGGGGTTATAGGCATGCACTATTGTCTTGCTAAGTTGACTAGGGCCTTACTAATTTGCTGAGTTTTGAACTTGGGATACTCCTGCTTCAGCCTCCTAAATCCCTGGGATTACAGGTTTGCATCACCACACCTGGCAAGGGCCTTCTTTTAACCTCATTCTCCTTTAGCCTAACTAGTTGAAAGATTTTTCTTCCTATTCCCACTTAGTGGGAAAATTCATTTTTTAGATAGTTCCCTTTCACATTATCATACAGTTAATTTGGTATTGGTAAATCATTGCTAATTAATTATCAGAATGGTTACAATGTGCACAGCCAGTAACACTTGCCTGTAATCCTAACTACTTGGGAGGCTAAGGCAGGAGGATTGCGAGTCTGAGGCCAGTCTCTGCAACTTACAAAACAGGATCCCATCTCAAAATTTTAAAAGGCTGGGGATGTACTCAGTGGTAAAGAATCTGGGGTTCAGTCCCCAGTACCAAAATACAATGGTTTTAATGAGTAGATCAGCCTGTAACATTCATTTCCTATCACTTCCCTAGTAGTTGCTACATGTACTTAACACATATCTCATCCTCAGGTATTGCTTCGGGCCCGTGCCATTGAAACTCAGTGCTACGTTGTAGCAGCTGCACAGTGTGGACGCCATCATGAGAAAAGAGCAAGTTATGGCCACAGCATGGTGGTAGACCCCTGGGGAACAGTGGTGGCCCGTTGCTCTGAAGGGCCAGGACTCTGCCTTGCCCGAATTGACCTCAACTTTCTGCAAAAGTTGCGCCAGCATCTGCCTGTGTTCCAGCATCGTAGGCCTGACCTGTATGGCAATTTGGGTCACCCACAGTCTTAAGTTTTGACTTTCATGAATTCAGACAGGCAGATACATACATACACACACACACACACACACACACCACAGCATTGTGAGGTGATGCTACTGTGATTTGTAAGGAGGATCCAAGCACGGCTTCCTTCACTTGGAGAACCTTGATTCTCAATAGAACACAGAATCAAATTCTTGGTAAAGAAGAAACTTTCACCTGAGCTGAGATTTCATTTTCAGAAAAATGGGATTTTATATAGTCACTGTTTATTTCATGAAAACTGAAATTATGCTGAGGACTGAGCAGCACTGGCATTGAAAAAATAATAATAATCAAAGTCTGGGTCTGGACATCTCCTTTAGGAGCTGGAAGGAGAGGTGGTATTGTACCTACTGGATTAGGCTTGAGTTCTGGACCTCCTGGCTCATTCAGCTTGCCTCCCTACCTAAAAAAGTGCAACACTCAGTGCATATCCCAGCCCCATTCTCCCAAGCATGGGAGTGGGAGTAAGGGTGGGGGAGGGGGGAGGAAAAAGGAGGAATTCACTTTATCCTAAGGTGCCCTTTGCCCAAGCCAGAAAAAAACCAAAGGGGAAAAGGGCTGCAGGGTATGTTATTTATTTTCACTTTAACATGGAAGGAAAGTATCACACTCCCCCTTCCCCTTTCCAGGGGGAGTGTATATTAATCAGCAGCCTCTTCTCTATCCACCTTGTATATGAGTGTGTTCACACACATCACAATTGAGAGGGGTGATCAGGCTGACCCAGTCCTCTTATCTGTTACTCCCTTGAAGAGGATTTGACAAAGGGGGAAAAAGGAAGGACCACACCAGGCAGCAGTTTCAAGCCATGGAATGGAGAAAAGAAGGCAGAGAGGAGCAGCACCAGAGGCCAGGAGAGAGTGGAAAGGGCCACAGTTTCTTCTTTTTTAAAAAAAAAATTCTATAATTTGGAAGAGGGTGGTGATTAAGTTCCAAAATACACTTCAGAGTCCCACCTTCCACATAGCTCCCTTATTCGCAGCCCTTTGGTTTTTCAGACAAAATTTAAGAGCCCTCATAAAGCCAGAAGTATTGATAACCCCTCAGTGCACCCAAAATCAGTGTTCACTTCAGTCCCTTACAAAGACTGTTCTATAGGCTTCGCTTCTCCCTATACATTTGTCTTACGGCTCAGTGGTAAGGTGGCTGTAGAGACACACATTAGGGGGTAAGTGAAAACAGGAAACAAAGGGGAAGCCCAGGCACATGGGTGCAGGGAGGGATGGGGAACACCATTTCCATTTTCCTTTGTCTTAAAAAAAAAAAAGGCAGGGGTGTGATTGGTTGGAAGGGTAGAGAACAAACCCCAGAACAGTATGTAAGCTCCAGAGGTGGGTGGTGGGAACAGTCCCCAAAGAAGTAAGAAGGGGAAAAGGTCAGGGTAATGCTTGCAGCATCAAGTTCCTCAGGAGTTTCTGTCGTCCCAGCTCATAGTCCTCCTCGTCCACATTCACCAGCAGCTTGATGGCTTCATGGCCCACAGCTTGCTTGAGGGAGTCTGTGATGAAGACACCTTTAAGTGCCTCTAGTAATGAGCCATTGATGTAGTCGCGCCAGAATGCATCGAGGTAGGTGAGCTCAGAGAACTTGATGTCACAGATGATGGAGCCCAGGTCCCGGGATTTGAGGATGGTGTTGGCCTGGTTAAAGCGTTCAAACTGGCGCTCAAGTGGGTCCTGCTTGTTAGAGAAGACATTGCCCTGCAGAGCAGTCTCATGCTGGCAGTATTCAGCCCGAACCCGCAGTCTGATGTCTGTGGTAAAGAAAATACAGAGCAGAAGAGGTTACAAGTGAGTTGGAAGTTTACAACTTAAGTTTGAAAAGCTGAATGGGGTAAAGCAGGGAACGTCACCTGATAGCTTCTCTATTTTCCCCAAGACAATTTCTTTTCTATGCATCTCTGAAATTCTTGTGTGATTTTACAGGTTCCCTTAAATGGGATATGCCCAGGTCACCATCATCTCCCATCACTCACAAACAGCACCATGCTTATGAGATACTTTTCTAATTAGGATAAAGGTTCATTTTAATTATCTTGATTGGTTCATCCTACAATAAGGGTGTCATATCAGCATCTCTTTGATCTACTGTTAAATAAAAAGTTAAAATGTACCCTGCTGGGCTGGGGATATAGCTCAGTTGGTAAAGTGCTTGCCATACACAAGGCCCTGGGTTCAATCCTCAGCACCAAAAAAATATATAAATATATATATATATAATATATATATTATAAAATCTCACAAAAATAGAGTTCTTCCACAGACTAAATCACTCAGTCTCACTTTGTGCCAACAATCAAAGTGAACCTTGCAGCTGGCATGGTGGCACACACCTGTAATCCCAGTGACTGAGGACTGCAAATTCGAATGCCATCCTGGGCAACTCAGCGAGACCCTATCTCAAAAAAATAAAAGAGCGGGGCATGTAGTGCACTGGTAGAATACCCCTGGGTTCAATCCCTAGTACCAGGGGAAGAAAATGTAAGCCTTGCATTAATAACACTATTTTCCCTCAAGTCTACTCTACCTCTGGAACCCTTAAACTTCCTCACCACATGTCTGCTTTTCCTTGGGATCAGGTGTCACTGACTTCCGGCGTTTTCGCTGACTCCCAAGTGTGGCTCTCCCTCGGGCTGGCCGCTTGCTACACATCTGAGGACCCGAAGTCGGGCAGCACACCACAGGATAGTGGGGAGGCACTGACAAGAATGTAAAAGAGAAGAAAAAATAAGTTAAAGGCAGAAATTGACTCTTGGAATGCAGAAGGAATCATGTAGACTTATCAGCATCAATAATGTGACCTGAAAGGAGGATATATGAAAGCAACACAAGACCAAGGTGAAACATTAACAGCTCACCTGAATTTTCATAGGACTAGATGTGGAGGGACAGCATCCTTTCATTTAAGCTGGCAAAGCCAGGAATGTGAAGGGATCAGTGTCCTCTTGCTTGATTATGGAATCAGGAGGAGTAATATCTTCTCACCTGTTTTAGGGGGCTGGGGAGGCCTCGGTTCTGGATCACTGAGGGCTCTGGGGGTCACATATCGAATTGATGTCTCCTCCAGATACTTGTCTACAAGATCAGGGCACACTGTAGGGAAAGAAGAAAACATTCAGGAAAAAGTACACCCTTCCTTCTCCCAATGGGCCTCAAAACTGATTCTCCTAGGAACTCCCCAGGGTCAAAGCCTCCCTCTTATGCTGTTCACTCCTGGTTTTCTACAACTCTTCCCGATTCCACTGCCCTCACCGCCAATAAACCCTTACCAGCCCGTCTCTTCTTGAGGGTGACATAGGGAAGCAGGTCATGGCGAGTGATGATGCGCAGCAGCTGCAGCACCTGGCGGAAGTTACTCTCATCGCAGCGTCCCTGGCGCTCCAGTGCCAATAAGAAATCACGTCCATTTCGAATGAGTCCACGTTCATGGTCATCAATGACATCAACAAAGAGGAAGGAAAGCACGCGCACATCTCTGTGTGTCAGGTGGGTGCCCACGATGTCAAACATGCGGTGTAGACTATATAGCCCATGCTCCTGCTCACCATGTTCTTCTGGCCACACCTGGCTTGCCCGCCTCTTTAGGCCCGCCATGATGGGGGCTCAGGAACACAGTGCTTTCCAGAATCCCTGTTCAACAGCTGCTATTCCCAGTATACTGTAAGGATAAAGCAAGAACCTGTGAGCCATTCAATGGGAGGAACTAGTGTTTTCATTCCTATATTCCCAGTGCCTAACATGATTTCTGGCGCAGTATACTGCTTAATACATGTTTATTAACTATTTTTAAAGTGTTTATTAAAAATAAACAGTAGGTGGGTATGGTGGTGCACGCCTGTGATCCCAGCTATTCAAGAGACTGAGGCAGGAAGATCACAAATTCCAGGCCATTCTGTGCAACTTGTCAAAACTCTGCCTCAAAAGAAAAAAGTCTGGTGATGAAGTTCAGGGGCAGAGCACTCCTGGGTTCAATCCCAGTCCAAAAATAAAGAATAAATAAACCCTAGAGCTCTCCATACTCAACAGATGATGCTGAGTCCAGATCTTTTTTTATATAATTTTTAAACATTTATTTTTAGTTATAGGTGGACACAATATCTTTATTTTTAAATAGTGCTGAGGATCGAACCCAGTGCCTCACATATGCACAGGAGAGCACTCTACCTCTAAGCCACCACCCCAGCCCGAGTCCAGATCTTACTGGAGAAATAGTCTCTTACCCTGAGAGTGTCTATGCAATTTTAATACTACATATTCAGCAAAAGTTACTATTACATATTACCCTGAATGTATCTCTTGCCCCAAAACTCTGCTTTTCCCTCTCCTCAAACAGTTCACTTCTTGAACACAGGCAAAATCTATAAGTAGAGAATTAATTCTTAATTCTAATACAGAAACTGCATCAGATGAATAGGTAAACTGAAAATGTTTAGTATTAACTAGTTTAAATTATGACCATATTGTTTCATTAACAAGCTGTGGAGCTGGGTGGCAAGTCACTTATCAGAAAGTCTCAGTGCCTTCATCCTTAAAACAAGGATGAAAAAAAAAAAAACCTCCTCAGAGTTGTTACCAATCCAATGAGAAAATAAATGTAAAATCACTCTGTAAACTTTATATTCCCATAATCTTCACATCATTTGAATATACCCTTCTTTTTTTGCTACCAACAATGTAACGCAGGGGTGCTTTACCACTGAGCCACATCCCCAGTTTTTTTTTTTTTTTTTGCTTTTTGCAGGTGCCACAGTCCAGCTGCAGCAAAATAACCGGGGGGTGACGAGCAACTTGTGTAGATTGATACAGCAGGAGTGGGAGCTGTTTATTGTAGGACAGGAGCGGTATATATACATTCCATACAGCTTATCTTAATTAACATAAACTAGATACAGCAGTCAACCAATAAGGAATCTCCACACTTAATGGCTCGCTGGCGTTACTTCATAAACCATTCCCTCTGGCAAAATGCCAGGCGCCATCCTGACTTGTTTACAGACCCTAACATGCAGGGGGACAGGGTCTCCATAAATTGCTTAGGGACTCACTAAGTTGCTGAGACTGGCCTCAAACTTGTGATCCTCCTGCCTCAGCCTCCTGAGTTGCTGGGATTACAGGTATGTGCCACCACACCCAGCCTGGATATACCAACTTTTAACTTCTCATGGATGTCATTTACAAACCACATCCACTGACCAAACACAGCCCTATGTTCATTACATAATCTGGCATTTGATTCACAAAGTTCATCAGTCATCCTGGTTGATGTCAATGACCCAGTCATTAACCAATCTTCCAGTCTAACAACTTTCACCTGCACTCTAGTCACTTCATACTTACTGCACTGCCAGAAGGTATCACCCAATACTATTCCACCCCTCTGACCACAAGCTCCAATCACCTAATCAGTTTCAATTTTAGATTCCTACTGAGACTACTTCCAATTTTTTTTTTCTTTTGGTCCCAGGGATTGAACTTAGGGGCACTTAATCACTGAAGCACATCCCCAGTCCTTTTTATTTATTTTGAGAAGGGTCTTGCTAAGTTGCTGAGGCTGGCCTTGAATTTATGATCCTCCTGCCTCAGCCTCCCAAGTCACTGGGATTACAAGCATGCACCACCTCATCCAGCTACTTCTAAATATTTCTTAAATCTCCTCTATCTTGTCATTTCTACCACCACTGCCATATTTTAGATTCCTATGGTCTCTCTCCTGGATCACTGCCTCTTTTTTTTTTTTTTTTTGGTGGTGCTAGGGATCAAACCCAGGGCATTGTATATGTGAGGCAAGCACTCTACCAACTGAGCTATATCGCCATCACACCACACCCCAGCCTGATTACTGCCTCTTTTAAAAAGTTCTCCCTACCACTAATCTTTTTTCTTTCTTTCTTTTTTCAATGGTGGGGATCAAACACAGAGCCTTGTGCACGTTAGGCAAGTGCTCTACCACTCCGCCACACTTCTAGACCCCCAGACATCAAACAACCCACCTAAATTCATCTAATTGAGTTAGCTATCTAAAATGCACAACTGACTACATCATTTTCCTACTTAAGACTCATCTACAGCCTTCTCCTTACCTATAGGAAACCTCCAAATTCCTTTTACAGTATACCAAGCCACCCAAGATCAGGCTGACTTTTCTAACTTCATTTCCCACCACATTCCATTCCTCCTAGCCCACGTCCTGGGGATCAAACCCAGGGCCTCCAGCATGCTAGACAAGTGAGCCACACTCCCAGCATTTTTTTTTTCCCAAGGCTGGCCTTGAACTTGTGGATCCTCCTGCCTCAGTCTCCTGGGTAGCTGAGATTACAGGCATACACCACCACAAAAACCCCCTTTTTAAATTTTTTATTTTGAGGCAGGGTCTCACTAAATTGCTGAGGTTGGTCTCAAACTCATGAGCCTCCTGCCTCAGCCTCCCAAGTCACTGAGATTACAGGTGTGCACCACTGCATCCAGATCCACTTTTTATTCTTTATCAGTTTTATTTTCCAACATTATACATTTATGTGTTTATAGTTCACATACAGTATGTAATTCATTTCTCTACACCTTTCTTCGGGTTATTCCCTTTGCCTAAATGCCCCTCACCCTTTATTCCACATAACCACTCTTTTTCAGATGGCTAACTCCTACTCCTACTGTAAAAGTCAGCTCAGATGCTACTTTCAAAATGCAATCTCTACACCCCCAAGCTGGGTTAAGTAGTCCTCTACTGTGCTCTTTTGGAACACTATGCATATTTCTTTTATATTTATTATCTCTTTAGATCCTGAGCAATTCATGGAGAGGGACTAAGTAAAATTCACCTTTATTTCTCCAGTGCCTGGCAAAGGACAAAGTGTGGCATTTGTTGGAGCAATCTGTTGTTGAACTGAATAGAATCTAATCTCTAAGAGATCACCACAAGCAATAACATTAAGAAACAAACTCACAAAAGTCCAAGAGTGAGAGAACCCCATTAAAAATAGACATGCATAACTCAGTTACCATGCAGACAGAACTGGCAGGCGGAGCTGCCTCTAGGCCAGAGAACTACCCACATCACACCACACCCTCTTCTCACCAATAAAATAGGCTGTTCTGTCCATTGTATACACCAAGAAACTGAGGCTAAACTAGAAAAGAGAATGAGGGCCTCAGAGTATAATTCAGCAGCAGGGTACCTGCTCAGTATGAGGGGCTAGTCATGACGGTACATATCTGTAGTCCAAGCAATTTAGGAGACTAAAGCAGGAGTATCACAAGTTCAAAATCAGCCTTGTAATTTGCCAAGACCATGTCTCAAAAAATAAAAAGGGCTGGGGATGTAACTCAATAGTTAAGCGGCCCTGGGTTTGATCCCCAAAACTGAAAAAGAAAGAATAAAATGATAAGTTACTTCATAAGAACCAAGCCAATGAGGACTCAAAAAGTAGAAGAGCTAGTAGGAAGGACCTGGTCCCTCTCCTTCAATAAATCAAAGATGGAAGCACAGAGAGCTTTATCCCCTTAAGAAAAAGGGAGGCCCCTCCTGGAATCAACCCCAGACCATGGGTTCTGGTATGTGGAAAGATATATAACCCATACATAGTTTGGAAAGCCCAGATTTTCCACCCAAAACATGGAAAAATAACTATTCAACAACAGACTGATTTTCCTCGTTTCTTCCTCTTGTTTTACCTGCTGCTGTCACTGGGTACTAATGGAAGTGCTGTAGAAAAATAACTTCTTACTCATAGCAGGCATCAGGAGAAAACTGAGCCTCCTAAGAGCCCGTGCAACTTCTGCAAGTTCCCTATCCCACCTGTTCCTTTGGGCCAGCTGTTGATTATGAGGATCGAAGAGAAAGCAGATGGGCAGGTTTCACATTCAACCAATCAGAAAAATAGGTTGCTCCAGTGTTCCCTAATTCAAAGTATCCTTAAACCCCAGGAAATGAAGAAATAGTGTCCCCACATATTTTGCCACTAGAAAACAGAGCAAAATATGACTGTGGTCCTAACCACACATCAACAGATGCAACTCTACAATAGACCTTAATTCCCTGAGTTAAATCTACATCTGAGGGGGGTGTGGATAGCCACCTTTAAGTGCTAGATCCTAGGCTGAATCAGTCAAGGTACCAGGAATCATCAGAACTTCTAGGTCAGTGGTTCTCAACCTGGGGCAAATTTGTACCCCCTGGGGGACATTTGGTAATGTCTGGAGACAATTCTAATTGTCATGTGTAGGGAACCAGCATGTAATCAGGCCAGGGATGCTGCTAAATATCCCATAATGCACAAGACAGTCCCCCACAACAAAGAATTATCTGGCTCAAAATGTCCATATCCATCTTCCAGGTGGAACATGATGAATGGTCAAAAGAATGCACATGACTTTCCACACTAGACCTAGAGAAGGAAGCTGTTAAGTCCCTCCAACCCAAACCTATCAAACAATATTCCAGAATAAAAGAAAGGCCAGTCAAGCATAGGCTCATTTAACTCTAGGGTTTAACTAACACAAAGGAGTTCCATCCCACCCCAGCCCTGGCTCCTCTTTACTGCTGTTGTCATTCAGGTGAACTGCAGGGTAATGCTCTACTCCCTACTGCCCCATCCCAGAGGTCTACTCTGATCTAGTTCAATCTGGAGTTCTATGAGAATAAAAGAAATACCAGCTGAGCACGGTGGCACACACCTGTAATCCCAAGGCAGGAAGATTCTAACTTCCATACCAGCCTTAGCAACACAGTGAGACCCTATCTCAAAATAAAAAATCAAATTTGGCTAGGGATATAACTCAGTGATAAAGTGTCCCTGGATTCAATTCCCAATACCAAAGCGAGAAAAGATGGGGGTGGGGGGTGGGAGGTTGGAATATCCTCTTCAAGACAGACACAAAGGATCCTTCTCTTCAGTCTCAGGGTCATTTTCAAGTCCTAAAACTAGACTCATAGTAAACCCTTCTGGTTAAGTTGCTGATCAGACTTATACTGCTTATTCAATGAAGCAAAACTTAGCAGAAGTGAAAGTTTCCCAAGGCCATGTCCTTGGGAGAAATGTCAGGAGGCTGGCATACAGGCTAGTAGACATCCCTCCCCACCTAATTATCATCTGGGATTTTGAGTTAACTCACTCAGCAACTCAGAAGGGGGCTATAGGAATCTATCCAGCTTCAGGATTAAAAGAATGTGACCAACTTCCTCTTAAACCAAAATATACTCAGCTTTCTGTGGCAGTAAAGCAAGGGAGCTCAGCTTAAAATATACAGATCCTAGATGAACGGTATCAGAATAGTGAGGAGAATGGTCCCCTCCAGAGAACCATAAAGAACTTCAGTGTTGGTATCTGAAACACTGCCAGATGGATCCCACTGGCTGGGATACTAATATATGAGTCCCCCCACTACAGCTTCCCAAGAATAATTCTTTTTTTTTTACCCATATATATTATTTACCAAGAATAATTCTTTATTCTGATAAACTGTTATACTTCCCAGAGTTCTAGTGTGTACGTTTTTCTTTAGGAAGGTCCAAGTCAGTCAAGGGTCAACTGAGAGTCTATATGTATCTACAGGATTCCCCTCCTGATGGGTCATATTCTGTTGGGTTTCCATGTCCAAGCAATCCAGTCTCATCCCGTCTAGGGATAATATCTGTACCTTTTGAGGTACTCCGACTTTCTCAAGAGTCCTGAGAGGAAGAACATGTAGAAGAAGTAAAACAGTAATGTCTTAAAAATGAAAATAGCAGTCTAGTTTCTTCTCAACAGAGATGATAGATGTAATTTCACAGATATCTGACTTTCAAAAGCCCTTAGGGGAAAGTCATGTAGAAGAACTAAAGAGTGAATGATATCTTGAAGCTTGGAGTGAAATCTACATGGAAAATCTTAAAGAAAGCAAACAGTACATAGCTTTCTTGCTGGTGGGATTAGGAAAATGTAACCAAATATCTGGAAGTCAGATTACATAGTATGTTTTCAAAAGAAGATTCCAGGAACTCTGAACAGCTAGGAGAGAGAGTAAGTTTACCAAGCAAGGAAGGTGCCTCAGGAACGCTCAAAGGGCAAAACAGTAGACAAAGTACTAGACCACAGCTTTCCATATGTTAAAAAATTATTTTCCCAGAGCTGACCAAAAAGACTAGATAATAAACCAAAACTGGGGGCTTGTCCCAAGACACCTAATTTCCCCTTTCTTTTTATCTCCTAAACTCCAGTTAGCTGAAGAGATAGTGACTGGAACAGATTTTAATGTACTGTTGGGTGAGTGAAAACTCATTTTCCCTGGCATCTTCCCCACAACTGGGATCAACCCCAATACAATTCTATGGCATTTCCATTGTTTGAGAACAATAAAAAGTTCTAGACTTACCTCTGCAAGAAACTTAATTTCCGAAGTCTCTTCCTAGCACAAGTTTCAAAGCCAGCAGAAAAACAAAAACAAATAAGGGGGGGAGTCAAATTTCAAGCTTTATTTTGAAATCTTGAAGACCAATAGAGTTAGTCAATCTCAGTCTCAAAAACTCACAGAGAAGCCTAAAGCTATTTCAAACAAATTGATCCACTCCTAGATAAAGAAGAGAAGAGAACTAACCCATAACAAAATCCCCAGGGCTCCCTCTCTCCTAGTCAATTCACAAAACAAACACCAACTTCAAGAATTCCTAGTCCCAATGGCTCATGGCAAATACAAATTCAGCAACTTCTGGGAAAACCCATTATTACGCTCTGATAACCTCCTCAATACCTTATTCCACCTATTTTGTTACCATATTAATGTTGACTTTCATCTTTAGAGAATTGTGAGGAGAAAGTGGTTATAGCCCCCCCCCCCAAAAAAAGGCACTTTCTTCCCATCACTTAACAGTCCAGAACTATCCTCCAAATTCTATTTTCCCCATTGCACACAAATACAAAATATCCACTGAGGCAGCATCCACTCACACATATACTTTTAAGCAGAGATCTTGTTTGTTTTGAAGTATGCCTACTGACTCCCTCCCTTCTAGCACTTAAACACCAAAAAAAAAAAGGGTCTGGAAACTAAAGGGCTCCTTTAATTGGCCTTTCTAGATGCCAGCCGTCTTTTCTGTCTTCCTCCTCAGACTTTCAGAGCCTTCACCTTAGCATGCAGGGCTCCAATACAGCCATATCTATTTCCCCATTCTTGTATTGCTAATTGTTAAAAACTAGAAAAGTCCTTCACTCCTCCACACTCACTAGCAGTTTCCCCATTTTCCCTTCTTTTTGTAACTAGGAAAAACAAGGGAGCAATAAGGTAGGAACACTTTAGGAAAGTAAACCCAGTTGAACCCTCATTCAATCCCAGTTCTCAAAACCCACATGACCATTCCCTTTTGCCCTTCCCACCCCATTAAAAGCTAAGGGCCTGGCAATTGGAATTGGCTGCAACTGATGCTGCTTAACATGCACTCTTCCTATCCACAGGGGAAAGGGAAACCCCGAACCTCTATCACCCGAGCAGCTCCCCTGTCCTATCTCTCATCCCAATCCCTTTCTTCCCAAACTTTCCTCCTACTCTCTCACTTTTTTCTTTACCTCGGCACACCGACACTCTGTCCATTCCTTAAACCTTCGTTTTCTCCTTTTTTCACCCAAATTCACCCCTAGGCCCTTCCCCCTCTCACTTCCAATTTAACACTTTTAAAACCTCCCTCCACAAAGCCTCAAAAGTCCAATTCTCACCTCCCACCTCCTCTCAACAACCCTCACAAAAGTCCAGTCCTCCCTCCAACCACATGCCACAAGCCCACTTCCCCTTAAAACCCTCAGCCTCTCCCTCCAGCTCCTATACCCCTTTCTATCAGGCCAGATCGCGGCTCCACTCCCCACCTCGGCCTCTCTAATACCCCTGGCCTGGCCCAGTCCGGGCCCTTGTTTACGCCCCGCCCCATGTTCCCACTCCTGCGCCTCGACCCCTGCCCTCTCCCACAGTTGCCATCTCCCCTGCACGCCCCCCTCGGCTGCTCCCCTCCCCCACCTGGTAGCGTCCCGTCACCTCCCTCTCTGGAGGTTCTCAAGCTGGACGTCGCCACCGCCTCCCCCTCCACTTTCCTTCCCCAAACCCTTAGCGGCCCCGCCCGGCCCCGCCCCGTCCCGCTCGACTCCCCCTCCCCACTCCGGCCGCCCCTCCGCCTCACTCTCGGCTCAGGTTCGGCGCCGCCATGTTGGATCCATCCGCGCCGCTCTCCCGGGCCTGTCTCACGGCGCCGCATCCGGGCTTCAGCCACCGCCGCCGCCGCCGCGGGCGTGGGGGAGGGGAGAGACGGGCGGGGGTGGTTGCATCCTGAACAGCGCCTCCCGGAACCTGGCCGGTTAGTGGCGGCTTCGAGACCATAGTGAGGCATGAGCCAGAGCAGCCATACTAGTTGAGGGCAGCCTGGCAGAGGCATTAAGCGGGAAGTAGATAGCTTCACGTTCGGAGGAGAGAATAGACGCTGGCAGCCATCTTACTTTGGGGCAAGCTGGCAACGCAGGTTTTTCTTGACGACGGCTTTGGGGCGGTAGTAAAGGGAGGGGAACTGTAGCATTCTTGAGTATGGAAACATTGGTGGCGCCCGAGCTGGCTGGTGTGGACTTCCAGACCCACTGAAAGACTGGGACTGGCAGCCATGACACATAAGGGCGGAATAGCACGGGGGTTGGATTGCCTCGTGAACTCGGGTGAAGGGTCAAGATCTGGATTTGACCTTTGCTCTGAGCTTCCTGGTCACCCGGACGTTCTGTAAACCCGGACTGTAGCAGAAAGCGCAGCCCAGACGCGCTCTCGGAATTCATTCTTTCATCATTTGCCTTTTGAACACCCGCTTCCTGTAAGGAAGTGTCGCCTGAGCCGAATGGTGAAGGACTGTTGGGAATTGATTGGGGCAGGCGGGCAGCGTCGGGGGGAGGTGGCGCAGGTACGTTCTGCAGCTGCCCACAGCCTGCTAGGGCTAAAGGAAGAAGCACTAAGGGCCTAGGGATATAGCTCAGTTGGTTGTGTGCTTACCCTGCATGCACGAGGCCCTGGGTCCAACTCTCAGCACCACCACCAAAAAAAAAAAAGCAGTAAGGAAAGGGAGGGACTGGATTACACAAGGCCTTATAAGTTGATTTTGCCCTAAGGGCGATGAAGAGCCTTTGAAGGGTCTTTGCGGAGGGGGTGACCAGTTACATTTGGATTTTAGAAAAATCACTGTTTGCCTGTGCGGGAATGGTGAGTCGAGTCTGCAGACCCAGCTACTTGGGAAGCTGAGGAAGGAGCCCAGGAGTTGAAAGTCATCTGAGTTTTAAAAAAGTGGTGTAGGGGGTGCTAGTGTGTAGGTGCTTAGCATACGTGAGGCTTTGGGTTCAATCCTCAGCGTCAAAATCAAAAACAAAACAGGCTTGCAATGCGAATGATGGGGTGTAGGAGAAAAGTTACAGGTGAAGAGAACAATAGTACTGTGTCCTCTAAAAAAAAGCGTAGTGTGGATATATATTGGATTAGAGAATATAAATGTTACGATTTGAATAACTGGATAATGATGATTCCATTTTCTTTTTAGTTTGGAGTGCTAGAATGACTTTTACGTGCTTGTGGGATATCCATTAGACCCAAAAGGTTTGAGATGTGTTTGTGTGCATATAGATAGCTGTTGGAGCCATGGGAGTGGATAAGATAACCTCGAGAGAAGAATACTTGCATTTGAGGGATGTGTTGAGGGAAGAAAGCTGAAGAGACTACACTGAGAAGGGACAAAAATAGGAAAAGAAGAAAACCGGCAGAGTGTCTAGCAATCTTGTCAATGTGTTAAAAGTAACAGAAAAATAATAGTAATAATAAAGCAACAGAAGCAGGAGAGGGTGGTGTGCACCTGTAATCATAGCAATTTGGGAGTCTGAGCAGGAGGATCACAAGTTGAAGACCACAGCCTCAGCAACTTAGACCCTGTGTCTAAATAAATAAAAAGGGCTAGGGTACAGCTCAGTAAGAGAGCACCCCTGAGTTAAATCTCCAGTGCCACCACCGAAAAAGAAAAAAGTCAGGTAGACTAAAATGTGTTCATTGAATTATGCAACAAGGTTATTTAATAAATTAGGAGAAAGCTATTTTATAGATATGTGGGGTAGAGACAAGATTGAACTGGGAAGACACAGTGTATACACACAGTTTTTCATGATACTGTGAAAAGGAGGGTAGCTGTAGGATGTTGCCGGAAGAATAATTCCCAAAACAAAGGACTTTTAGGTAACTGTGAGACAGTTAGATGGAAATGTCCTAAGAGCAGTTGAATATATAGATTTAAAACTTAGGAGAGGGCTGGGGTTGTGGCTCAGAAGTAGAGCACTAGCCTACTATGCATGAGGCTATGGGTTCAATCTTCAGCACCACATAAAAATAAAATAAAATAAATTGGAGTGGCAACCTCTATTGGTACTACTCTAGGGGAAAAAAAAAAAACTTAGGAGAAGAATATGCCATGAAGGGGTGAGAGGGATTACAAAATTCATCATTGGGTAGGAGATATAACTCAGTGATAAAGTATTTGCCTAGCATGCATAGGAAGAAAAAATTAACTGGAGAGTGGGCCTGGGAGAAAAGAATTATACTTTTGGTTCTATCTATCTATCTATTTATTTATTTATGTGGTAATAGGAATTGAACCCAGGGGCACTCCTCCCTACTGAGCTGCATCCCCAGCCCTTTTTATTTTTTATTTTGAGTTTTGTTAAGATTCCCAGGGTGTCCTCAAACTAGTGATCCTTCTACCTCAGCCTTCCCACTAGCTGAAATTACTGGTGTACATTCCACCATACCTTGCTGTGCTTTTCATTTTAGGTCCATGTTTACCATTTGAATTTGTTTTGCTCTGTACGTATATTATTTTTTATAAAAAAAATTACTTTTCAAAACTCCTCTGACATAATCAGAAATTTAGAAGCATCAACATTTTAGTGGTAGTTGAAGCCATAGATTTGGATAAGCTTCCCAGAGAACAGGGGAAGGCTAAGAGGAGTGTCCTGAGGAATTCCAACACTTAAGGCACAAGTAGAAAAACTCTTGGAGAATCTTTGAAAAGGAACAGTGAAACCATGCATGGTGGCACGTACCTGTAATCCCAGCAATTTAGGAAACTGAGGAAGGAGGATCACAAATTTTGAGGCCAGCCTTAGCAGTTTATTGAGACTGTCTCAAAATAAAAGGGCTGAGGATGTGGCTCAGTGGTAGAAAGTCCCCTATGTTCCATCTCTAGTACTGGAGGGTGGGGGGAGACGGAATAAAGGATAAAAAAGAAAGAAAAAGCAAATAAGGGAAAACAAAAACTGGGAGTAGAAACTGTCAAGTGTCATGACCCCCAAAAGAGGTAGTTATGCATGGTATGCATAACATACCTATGCATTTCATGGTATGCATAGGTATGACTGGGTGACCAGCACCCCAACAGAGCAGGTTCCTGCCCAGTGTGAGCCACAGGGAAAATAAAAAGTCTGGAATAATTAGTAAGAAATAATATAAAGCCGTGGCTGAGGCTGTAGCTCTGTGGTGGAGCACTTGCCTCGCGTTGTGAGGCACTGGGTTCGATCCTTAGCACCACATAAAAATAAATAAATAAAGATTTTTTTTAAAAAAAATACAAAGATTAGATTTAAAAAGTGGAGCACCTGATGGGTCTTCCAGTCCTGATAGGAACTGGGACTGAAGAACTGAAAAAGGGCTCCTGATTCTTTATTTAAGAAGGAGTACATCATTGTGAAATATGATTAAAAAAAAAAAAAAAGAAGGAGTACATCAAAGGCAGGGATAAGGTTTCAGTGGGAGGAGTCTTGTTTTGGCACTTGCTCCTGGGGTGTGTGGCAGGGATCTTGTGATAAAGGGGTTGATTGGCATCTGGCAAGTTACATCCATCTTCAGGAGGCAAAAGGGATCTGAAGGAGCTTCTTCACAAAAAAACAGGATAGGGGTGAGGACAAGCAGGCTGTGCTTGAACTTGAGCAGTGAACTAGAAGTGGGTGCCAACGTGTATGAGCATTCTCACATCAGGGGGTTCAGCCTGGGAGTTCCCAAGACCAAGCTTCCTTGCCTAATAGCTCGAACATCACTCAGTGCACCCACGGTTCATACATGGCTTCCCACAAATAGGGAAGGAGTTTTTAGCTCCAAACACAGGTTTCTTGAAGATCATCACAAGAGTCAACTCCAGATCTTAAAACTCCCCAAGAGCCATTGGGCAATCCAGCCTCCTTGCTATTCCACCTTATCCTTCATGTCTGCCAGTTCCAATCTTGCAGTGGATTTTCAAATTGACACCAGCTGGGTCTGATGCCATAGTTCTTACCACAAGGCCAGCCTAGCAATTTAGCAAGACCCTAAATTTTTTTAAAAGGATGTAGCTCAGTAATAAAGCGCCCCTGGGTTCAATCCCAAGTACCACAAAAAGAAAGAAATGGTGAAGAACTTGAAAACAGGAGTATAAGTTGAAGTTAAGAAGGCCAAGAACTAACCACATATTTAATGGGTTTTCCCCAAAACCACCCAGGATGATCATAAATGTTGTACTACTCTAGGGGGGAAAAAAAACCTTAGGAGAAGAATATGCCATGAAGGGGTGAGAGGGATTACAAAATTCATCATTGGGTAGGTGCCAATGTCCTTAGGAGGACGGCTGAAGGAAAGTAAAGCCAGGTAGCACACATTTCAAAAAAAGAAGATTTTCTGCAAAAGGATGGAAACACAATAGCCTAAAAGTATCAATGGGTAGCAAAGATAAGGCTAACACTCTGCCATCCCTATATGACTGGCAAAATAAACAGTCTCTAGAAGGTTGAAGGGAAGAGATAATTCATTTATAAGTCAGAGGCTGGGGTTGAACTCAGGGGTGTAATGTGGGCTTGCACCAGCTTGTGAGTTCAAACCCTGGCACCTAAAACAACAAAAAGTCAAAATCAAAAATTTCTTCCCCACCTCTGAGTATTTTTCCCCTCTATAGCCACTGAAACTTCCTTTGTAAACAATCTCCCCTATATCCTTTCCTTGCAGATTGCTCATTAGTTCTTCCTAAAGGAATAGTTATCAGGTCAGAGGTAGTTGTGATGTATGGAAGGGGAATGTGTCCCTCAAAACTTACAGAGGACTTGGGCAATTTATTTATTTTTGTGTACTGGGGATTGAACCCAGATGTGTGTTACCTCAGAGCCACAACCCCAGCCTTCATTTGATAATTTATTTAGTCTCTGGGAATACAGGCTTGCACCGCTCACTGCACCCAGGTTGAGATCATTGTGCCAGTAAAGAGCTGAGCAGATTTCCTGGAGTGGAATGGAGTAAGTACTAACAAGGAGCAACCACATAAAGGTGGACACTCATGCTCATTACTGAGAAAAATATTTCACCGTTTTGGGTTTTTTGTTAGCCGAAGCCAGACAA